TGCGGAGAGAGGTCGTGCACAGGAAACAGGGTAGGTTTCTGGGCGGCTCGTGTATGGAGTTAAGAGGTAGTTTAGGGTTTTTCAGATTTCACCGTGAAGACGAGTCACCTGGGAATCTGGTGAAAATGCAGGTTCTGACTCAGTGCATCTGAGCTGGGGCCTGAAATTCTGCATCTCTCACATGCTTCTAGTCCAGGCTGATGTTTCCAGTCTCCCAACTGCGCTTTGAGAACCCCAGGAGGTGGGGAGGGTTCGGAGACCAAACTTGCCCATTTCTGAACATCGCCTTGGGCAAGCCCCGGACCTGCGCCTGAGTTCCAGATTATGTTCTAATGGCTTTTAATTGTATACGTCCGACGGGACTTTGTCGGGGCTCGTGTCTTTCCCCGGGAAACACTTCCCCAAGGCCAGTTATGCTCTACATTTGTCTGGACAGCTATGCGCACCGGTGTGTGCTGCCCCCTGCTGGTCGGAGTCTGAAGTGCACAGTGCACCCTGCCGGGGACTGGCGCTGGATGTCAGGCCTGAAAGGGCCGGGGTAGCTCCCCGCCAGGAAACATGGATTCATTTCTGCAACCTGTAGATTGATTCCGTAACAAACCTTTAGACGTCCGCGTTACCGAGCTTGCACCCAGGTTACTGCACAGCTGGTGCTTTGGAGCATGTGTCCAAACTGTTTGGGGCATTCATGTCATTTAATATTGGGTGCTGGGGGTGTCAGATGGACTTTGGAGCTTTGTTTCCCACAGGAGACAAGAAAGACTTATGTGTGCTGTAAAGGCATTCTAAGCCGTTTGGGTCAGAAGGAGTGGAGAGAGAGAAGCCTCTACTGATTATTTTTAATACAAGTACTCTGGGAATAACTCAATGGTGGCTGTTTCCAGGTTTCCTTTGTCAAGGACAATGCTCGTAGTGGCCACCGAGAAACCCTAGAGCTGGGAATTCAAGGATTGCTATGGGACACAGGGATGCGAGGGGTAATACAGATGCCCCCCCCCTCCCCCCAGTAAATAATAAAAGCAATATTTTTCCAGTTCCTATCTTAATGTGGAGGGTGACTTCAGCGGTGCTCTTATGGTTTGTGTGTGTCACCCAGGTAATAGAGATGCACCAGCAGGCCACTTGGGGGGATACTGGCTGACTGCAGGGTAAAGCGTCAAAAGCAAGAGCCCATGTGGCTACCAGCAGCCAAAGGGAAGGGAGAGAAAATCGATGGGTGGGGGAAATCCAAGGTGCCAGTTCTGCTCTGTCTTTCACTGCCTACCCTTTTTCGAAACTATTTTACGCCTTCGCTTTCCGCCCGAGATCGGCAACACTTCCCACCTGGCCCTCCCGCTGTCAAGTCCACCACCTCCTGTCCTCTGCTGTCCTCTGCCCACGGGAAGCTTCCCTCCTGGTACAAAAGGAGACATGACTGTGGGCCCTTCAAAATGATGAGGGAGCAAGAACACTTTAAGGCAGCGATTGTTAACCTTCTCCATCTCACGGCTCAAAAACGAATTACTAAAATTCTGCAGCACGCCCAAAAATATATTTTTTGCCGACCTAACAACAACAAAAAAAGGTATAATTTAGATTCTTTCGCACCAGACAACTATTGTTGTGTTGGCTGCTGTCAATTTTTAAATTTTATTTGATAATCTAAGGGAAAAGAGGTCAGTGCCCCTGACTAGTCAGGTATTGCACATTTTTAAAATTCTTGCAGCACACCAGGGTGCCACGGCACACCGGTTGAAAATCACTGGTTTAAGGGAATTGTTCCAGGATCCTCATGGAGCCCCAAAGGGAGTCTACGCTGGGGCCTGTGATACCCTGCTGCCCACATAGACCTTTCTGTATGGAGGGAGCCCCAGTGCCAGACTCGTCTGGGGGCCTCACCAATGCCAGGGCAAATCATTGCGGAATTACATTTCTTGTTTCAGTAAGACAGTTGAGCCTAATTCCAGGCTTGCTGGAATTAACCCTAACAACACGGTTTTATGCCTAATCTGTAGTCAAAACCTTTTACAAGAAGACACACTTAATTTGATAGAAGGCATTGCTCTTTTGTTATTGTAACTCATCCTTGTTTGTCTCTTAAAAATGTCGCATAGATTTAGCTTTTTGACCCAATGTGATCGGCTTTGATAATGCACTGAAACAACCATGTTCACTCAATAATTTTTTATGAAGCATAATAATCCTGAAGGAACACCGGAGGGTTGTCGTAAAGAATAATTGTTCCACGAGTATTAATTAGCACAATTCTAGAAGAACTGCAAGCTCTCAGAAGGGTTAGTTCATGTAATAATTAGTTGTGAATAAGACAGTGTCCTTGCCCAATATGAAGATGACAATTTACTTTGACTTTTAGCAGGTAAATTTAGCATATTCATACTTATTGTAAAAATAGATTTTCTGTTATCGAAACTTACTTTCTTTTTGTCATATCTCCCTGACTTTTTCCAGATTAAAAAGTTTCCTTTAATCCTGGTGGTTTATCTCCCTGTTGGTCTGGATGTTCTATAATCCACTCATTCAATTAATGTTTACTCAGAAAGCAGAATATAGACAGCACACTGCCTTTTTTTTTTTTTTAATTTAACTGAGATCTGCTTGTTTGTATAGTTCTTTGGCTGAACAGTCCTATTTGAATGGAAAGTTTGCCAAATAATAAGGTCGAGTGAGATGTGACTTTTGTTTAGACACTCCTTCCTTCACCTTTTAGCCAAAATCGCTCCTCTGGAACTTTCCACTGTCAGGCACCCTGAGTGGCAGCAGCTGCATAAAGGGAATACATAAAAGTGCTACTTCCTGGAGATAGAATTTCCTTTGATTGTGGGTAAGATGAAGAATAGTAGATATAGAATGAGCAACAAGAAGACAGACCTGTTGGCTATATTTTAAAAATCGTACTGGCTCAAATGTTTGAGCGTTATAATGGGCTGTGTGGCCTACTCCCTTGAAGACTGAGACTTGCACCAACCGCAGTCATTCACTTGCTCCTGAAGGATGGGTGGGACATCTTCTATGCACTGGGTACTCTCCCAGGCAGTGTAGTGATTGTGGTGAACAGGACAGGCAATATATTTTCCTCATGGAGTTTATATTCTTGTGATGGGAGGAAGAAATCAACAAACAAACGCATTAATTCGGATTGCAACAAGCTGACCTGGGAAATAAACTGCATAGTGAGACAGGTCGGGGAGTGGATAGGCTTGCCACTCTAACACGAGCAGGTCAGGAAAGGCAGCCTCCGCTCAGAGGAGACACTCGAGCCAGGACAAGAAGAGAGAAGCCAGCCCTGCTAAGAGCCAGCACGAGAAGATTTCAGGCACAAAACAAAGCAAGTGCAAATGTCCTGGGGCAGAAAGAACTTGGACTCTTAGAGGAACAGCAAGGAGGCCTGCAAGTGTAACACATTATGAGCCAAGGGCCAGTGACTCATGACAAGGTAAGAGAGGTAGTAAAGGGAGAGAATCCAGAGGCCTTGAAGGCTCGATCCAGAAGGCTGTACTTCACTGGAAAGGCAGTGGGAACTCAATGACGGATTTAAAGCATGTGCTGTTTTAATTTTTAAAAGGGTATAGTGTAGAGGATGGTTTCTAAATGCGGGAGTATGGATGGTTTTAATTTTCTTGCATAATTTTCTATATTCTCTACTGATATTTTTTCAGAGCACATATATGTGACTTTTATAATATTAAAAAATAAAAGTATGAATGCTTTATTGATGATTACTGAAACATCACATAGAGTGGGGTGAAGATGTTAGTTTATAAATACCATTGGGAAAACACTTAGTTTTGAACCACATCTCACATGATAAGCCAAAATAAATTTTCTTTGACCACATAATCCCACATCTGGAGAACCAGCTTAAAATGAATTGAAATGCACTCAATGTTTTTCTCACAATGACGTTCCCTGAACTATTATTTATTTATAAGAGAAAGAAAATAGAAATGGCCCAAAATGTCTAAGAAAAAGGGAAATGATGGAATAAGTCGTATCCAAAAGCCAGAATCTTTTATAACCACTAAAAATTATGTAAAACCATTTTAAGAAGAATATTTTTATTATTATTTGTTAAATAGATCTTTATTGATTTTAGGGAGAGGAACAAGAGAGAGAGAGGGAAACATCAACGATGAGAGTCATTGATCGGCTGCCTCCTGCACGCCCCCGACTGGGGATCGAGTCCGCAACCCGGGCATGTGCCCTGACCGGGAATCGAACCCCGATCGCCTGGATCTTAGGTGGACGCTCAGTCGCTGGGCCACACCCAGCCGGGCAAGAATATTTTTAAATGTATGGAAAATTTGGTTTCATGATAGTAAGTATAAAACTGTATGTGTGGTCTGTTAAAAACATGTAGTCACAGAAATAACAGCAGAGGAAAACAGAACTCTGACCACAGTCTCAGGAGTGGTGAGAATATAGGTCATTTATAGTTCAGTTCTTTAGTTATAATCGTTCACATTTTCTAATTTTTCTATAATGAATATGTGTCATTTTATTATCACAAAGGTTATTTTTTAAGGAACTCACAAAAATGTTAAAAGTTTATTATAAGCACAGCTGTTCAAAGCCCCAAGTCCTAAGTAAATACATGAAGAATATTAGCATATAAAGATCTTGTCCATATGGTTAATGGGTAATTTCTATGCTCTGGAGGGAAAAAATGTGTAACTGTAGAGCAATCAGATAAGAATAAGTTAAAATACATGCTTTTTTGTTTTCCATTTATTAAACTAGCAAAAGAAAATAAAAATTGATAAAACCCCTTAAGTGTCACTCTCATAACTAATGTATACGCTTTGTCACTGGGAAAACTTTGCACCGCTTTGTGGTGTTGCCAGTTCATTAGTATTGCTTAATCTTGCAAAGGGCTGGATGTCCTTTTTGTTCAAGGCAGGCAGTGGGTGCCGGCCACCAGCCTCCGGCTCCTCCCTCCGCTGCCGAGGCCTTTACCTGGCACGCCACCCATCTGTACGCTCAGAACGATTTTGGCACCCACCATGGCCACCTGCGTGAGGCTCAGCACCAAAGCCAAGATGCCCATTGTGGGCCTGGGCACCTGGCAGGTAAATGACATATGCAGATATTTGGACGCATGCTTCCCTGGAGGGGCTCTGGGCATTTTCTCCTGTGAGTAGGGAAAGCCCAGAGTCAGGGATGTGGGGAGATAAGAGTTGGGCCCTGCACCAGGACCGAGGTTGCTTTCCTTTCTCGGGGCTGATTCGAGGTGGAAAGTTCCAAGCATGGCCTTTTCTGGTAATAGTGAGAGCTCCGTTAGCAAGTACCAAGTTTCAAGCAGTTGTTGGGCTTTCAAAAACAACAGTTGTTTTCCAGGGCAGTTTCTCTCTTAGCAGCCTTTCCCTCTGGCCTCTCCCTGGCTCTAGGGCACTGAAAGGGGCGTGAGTTTGAGGGGAGGGGGTGCCAGGGCTCAGAGGCCCAGGAACTCCTTGCTGCCTAGTGTATGGCTGCCTCAGTGTGGCCTGGGGGCTGTTAGAGATGTGGAAGGAAGCTCAGGCCTCACCTCAGGCCTAAGCTGGAATCAGCACCCCAGCAAGATCCCCAGGTGATCGTGGTGCACCTTAGAGTCTGAGAGGAGCTGTGACCACAGGGAGAGCACCTTAGAGTCTGAGAGGAGCTGTGACCACAGGGAGAGCACCTTAGAGTCTGAGAGGAGCTGTGACCACAGGGAGAGCACCTTAGAGTCTGAGAGGAGCTGTGACCACAGGGAGAGCACCTTAGAGTCTGAGAGGAGCTGTGACCACAGGGAGAGCACCTTAGAGTCTGAGAGGAGCTGTGACCACAGGGAGAGCACCTTAGAGTCTGAGAGGAGCTGTGACCACAGGGAGAGCACCTTAGAGTCTGAGAGGAGCTGTGACCACAGGGAGAGCACCTTAGAGTCTGAGAGGAGCTGTGACCACAGGGAGAAGGGTCCCAGCGCAGGCTGGTTACTGAGGCGTTAACATGAGCTGGGAAAACCCAGAAAGACGCTACACAGACTTCAGCAAGGCAGATTCCTGAACCTCTCTTAGGATAAGTTTGAAATGTTTCCCTATCACTTTCTATGGGCCTTCTTTCACATTTCCAGTGTAACGCAAAATTAATTTTAGGCTGAAATAAAGAATAAAAATCATTTATTTGAGCAAAAAGGAACTGTAGCCCAGGATACAGATTCAGGAAACAACCTCACCTGTGTTCTCCTGAGGCTAAGGGGAGGCCGCTTTTTACAGGGAAAGTTCCCCGAAGGTTCCCAGTTAGGTCCATTTCGTGTGAATGAGGTATAGAAATTGTGCAGTTCTGATTGCTTGGGTAGATCTCAGAAGAATTCAGTCTGAGGTTCTTCCCTGCATACAGAGTATAGAGGATCCCCTGTCAGCAAATGGTCCCAGACTCTTATTATTTCTAAGATCTGGGCCCTCAGTTCAGCATGGGGAGTCCACCTCAGCAGATAAATTTCTTCTCAGGGTTTACATCAAAGGGATCTTTCTTCTCGGGGTCCCGGCAGCACTGAGAGTACCACCCTAACCAGTTCCAGGGGCAGGCCTTGGATTCCTTCTCTCTCACCCCTCTGCTGGCTCTCTCCTCTGGCCCTGCCCTTCTTTGCAACCGCTCTTTCCCATCTCCTCTCCTGGGTGAGAGGGTAGGACCTGGCTTAGTCCCAGGGCCCGGGCCCTCCCAGGAAGCAGTCTCGGTCAATCTGAGCGAGCAGTTCCGCTCCAGCTTAACTCAGTCCCAACTTCTCTTGCTGGAACGAGGCTCTTCTGCTTCCAATCAGAGCTTTGACCTGGATGCAGATGTGACATGTAACTGCTTCCAGATGTGCTCACCCCCAGGTGCCAGGTGTTGCACTGAGAACCTTACATTCTTTGTGGCAGTTCACCCAATGACCCCCTGAGGTGGGAACTAGTATTATTCCCCTTGTTTTGCAGACAAGGTTTAGATAAATTTAGTCATCTGCTCGGCTCACACACCTAGTGTGCGACGAGCCTGGATTTATGCTCAGTGACCATTTTTTCCATATGAAAATCCCTGTGGGTTCTTTCAGAGTCCAGCTTCCAGCCTGGTCACTGGAAAGCACTGCAGTAGGAGCCAGCTCTCTCCTCACACCCGGAGACAGTTCAGGGCTGGAGGGTTAACCTGGACCGGAGGGAAACGGGCTTTTAGCTGGGTTAGGCCAGGAGGCCATAATCATAACGTGGATTCACTTTTCCTCCTTCTCCTCTGGGAAGTTTTCCAAAGCGTATTGTTTTTCCCAGGTGTCCCCTAGAAGGTGGGCCCCATGAAGCCTTGGTTTGGAGAAGCCAGGCGGTGTAGGAGAGCCCACTGGAGGGGGGCTGGGCTGAGAATATATTGTGGTATTCATTCCTTTCCCTTTCAGTGCCCCCCAGACAAAGTGAAAGAGGCTGTGCAGGTGGCCATCGGCGCAGGATATCGTCACATCGACTGTGCCCCTTGCTACTGCAATGAGAAGGAGATCGGGGAAGCTGTCCAGGAGAAGATCCAGGAGAAGGTGGTGAAGCGGGAGGACCTCTTCATTGTTAGCAAGGTACACGAGGGCCCTGGCTGGGAGGACTGCACTCCAGGGCAGGTGTGAGTCCTTGGATTTGGGCAGCACCCAGGATTCTGCCAGCCCTGCCTTTGAGTGCTAACATCACCCCCCCTTCATCGCTGCCTCTGTGACGTCCCTGGATATCCACATATCTGCGCTACAGGCCAGCGATGGTGTGGGCGATACTGCGGCTGCCCTGCCCATTCGAGGCAATTTTCTGTAGTTGGGAGGGCTCCACAGAGCCACGGGCTACTCTGCATCAGTGGGGTCCATCTGCCCAGTGATAGTCAAAGGTGAAGGGATTGATCCTGAAGCCCCGCCTTTAAGCACTGTGGTCTCAATGGCTGTGGCCAGAGGACCTCAGCCAGGAGGTATTTGGGGAAATGGTCAGATTGCTTATTATTGTCACATATAAATTTCATTTTCATTCAGTATAGTAAAAGGTGAGTTATAAAATGTTATTTTTTTAAAAGGGCAGGGTATTGGGTGAGAGAAAGTTGAGAATCACTGGATCTGTATTATATACAACTTGCTAAAGAAAAACACTAGTTACAAGTGCTTGGAAAGTGCATGCATCTGGTGGGACAAATAGATCCCACTCTATGCAGTGGTTGAGTCTAGATAAACTTCTTGTAGGGTCAACACTGGGGGCCCATGGGCCTAGAGACATGGAAATGCAGAGAGAGAGGACCACGTGCTCCCAAAGGCTTAAAAATGCTTGAAATTTAAAAGCTAGACACAATTTCTGCCTCAGAAAGCCTATAGCCGAGGAAGAGAAAAACACATGTAAATAAATACCAAATCAGCGCTGGACAACAGAAGAGACCCATAGATGCCAGGAGAGTTGAAAAAAATAACTTGTCCTCAATGCTTAAGAAATGTCATTGACTTGCCGAGCAGCCTGGAGATCTTGCAAGCCTGGAGTGTGTGTCTTTACCAGCTCTGCTCTAAAGACCCTGGTTAGAGCAGGGTGTATGTCAAAAACAGGGACGGGTCGACATGGCCCTTTCTTTCCCCGGTACTGACCTCTCACTGTCTCTCTCTGCAGCTGTGGTCCACCTTCTTTGGGAGAACCCTAGCGAAGAAAGCCTGTCAGAAGACCCTCAGGGACCTGCAGCTGGACTACCTGGACCTCTACCTTATCCACTGGCCACAGGGGTTACAGGAATTACAGGTCTGAGCTACTCCGTTCCCATCTCCAGTTCCCAAGCAGGTGCCAGGGCTGGGGGCGGGGGGAGGGGGCAGGCAGGTGAAACAAGAGGCCTTGCACTTCATGACTTGATCAGCAGGTTTTTGGGAGGAAATGATGGACAGACAGACACCGGCTTGGAAGAAAGGCTGTGTCCACATGTGGCAGATGAGACGACCATGGGCCTAGGGATTATCTCAGTCTGAGAGAGTCCTGCTTTCTGGCAGCCCAGGCAAGCTGCAGCTGCTCCATCTCCTTAGCCCTGAATCCACACCAACAGTTCCCTTCCCAGGGAGCTCTTCCATGATGGTATTTCAGGGCTCAACCCTCTGGTTAACCAGAGCACACCCTGGGAGTGCCACCCTGGAGAAGAGCCCAGGTGTGGTCACCCTGGAAGGTAGCCAGTCCTCGCTGAAGAAATGGCCCTCATGGCCTGGGGCTCTGCCCCTGCCTGGTCCTGACAGAGAGGAGGGACATGAATTCCCAGCTCTCTCACCTCATGACCAGCCACGGTGACGATAGTGCACCATCCCTAGCTCCAGGCTTCTTAAGGCTGCAGGATAGAATCTGGCCAATATCTTCCCGAGGACACCACTTCTTTGGGAGCTAATCCTTGTCAGTTGATTTTGAAATTGAAGTGTGTGCCCAAGTGTCTATGAGGTCTGGGTATATGAAATTAATGCGCATGGTGATAATAGCAGCTTTTGGAATGTGCTCAAAATAGATTTAAAACTCATTCCAGCAGCTTCTAAAATATAAGAATTTGTATTTTATGCTACAGTATTTATATATGGTATTTATGCTACAGTATTTAGAGATTTTATTCAAGCTCACGTTCTTGAAGTGTGTACTCTGGAGCTCGAAAAACTAGTGTGGAGGTGTGGGTGTTTAGCTCGAGTTAGGATCCTGAAACCTCATTTAACAAACCAAGTGCTCAGGTGCACATTGCACTAAGCTCTTCGCTCTGTATTTACAGACTGGGCAGGACTCTCTCCTCAGTGCTGAGAAAGGCGGTATCCTCTCCAGTAAATTTACATTCTTGGATGCCTGGGAGGTAGGTTCCATCTTCTTCTCAGTGTGCTGGGAGTGACCCTTCCCTTCTGTCATCCACAAGGGCCTGTCTGCACTGGTGTGAAAGGGCACATGGATTTGGTGCTGTTTACTTTTATCATTGCCATTTCCCCATTCTTTGAACTCCTTACTAATTGCCTTTGGCTTTGGGTCCACATGACCCCATTTCTGTTTTCAAAGGCTAAGACTGAGTCCTCAAAGGAGACTGGAAATATAATGTACCTCGACTTGAAGGGTACACATGATGCTCCCAAACCAGGAGGAGGGGTTTGGAGCAGAGGTTTTGCCCTGGGTTTGCACGCGTCAGCTGAATAACCTAGCATAAGTTGTTTAACTCCTTTAAACCTCAGTTTCTCCCCCTTAAAAAAACCTCTTGTAATACATGCTAATACATATATCTTTTAGGATGGGGTAATTTAAAGATTAAAATAGCTAAAGTCTATTGAGCACCAGGAACTTGAGTCACAGAGGTTACGAGGCAGGGACTACGATCATCCCCATTTGCAAATGTGGAAACTGAGACCTGGAGAGGTTGGTGACTTTGTCAAGTCCTGTAGCAAGTGGGTGGCAGAGCTGGGATTGGACCCTGGTCGATCGGTCCAAATATCCACCCACCAAAGACCTTAACATGGAGCTTGGCACATAGTGACTATACATGTTCGAACATCGGAGGATACGAGTACCCCACTTCTCAGGTCAAACATAATGACCTGTCCCAAATAATTAGAATTCAAAATTGAATTAAAGAACGTAAGTCTTTCTCTGATCATCTTTTTTTCTGAAATAATCATATCCTTCTGCAAATGCTGGTAAAGAACAATGCAAATGAATGAATTGCCAATCAATAGTGACAAACACCACCAGAATTACTTGTGTTATTTTGTCAGCGTTTGGTGTGGGGGGCACATGTAGCTCTACGTTTGTATTGTGTTTTACAGCTTAAAAGTGTATTAAGTGTTAAGCCTAACCTTTCTGAAGAGCTTAAACTTGATATAATTAAATTAAGTGGAGCTTTTCAGTGGATTGTTTGTTGCAAAGTATTTATCTATAAGCGAAGTGCTCTTGCTGCTTTGAACTTTAATAACTAGCAGTAAGAAAATGTAGAAAGCAAAATTGATTTGATAACTGGGAAAGGGTAATAAAAGCAGAAAACTAGTCATCAAATAATGGCAAGGTTAACAATTTGTAAATGTAGTTGAAGGGAATTACCTTCGGCAAATAGATCATTAAATTTTCCTTCTAGCACCAGAAAGGTCATTACAGCAAAGTATGGAGGAAACTCTGTTTTCTGTGGGTGAGCTTTTAAGGCTGCCATGAAGCTCTCTGGGTTGCACGTAAACAAAAAAACAAAAACCCAACCAGAAAAACTACCAGCCATGCTAAAGAGCTTCAGTATTACCATTGGACTTCGCGGGCAAGGGTATATCGTTCGCAACAAGGCTCTGCGAGTCAAAATCAGCAAAAATAAAACAGCCATGATTTCTGTAACCAAGATCCACACTAAGTAACACCACGTCTCATGAACCAGAGACTATACATAGAAGTAAACAAAATACCTTTGGGCAAATCCTCTGAAGGCATCAACTCGTGCGTTCTACCACCTTGATCATATAATGAATGAACCCAAGGGGTATGCGGCACAACACCCCTGCTGGACGTGGCATGAGCTGGTGGAGCCCGCGTGCCAGAGGCGGTTCAAGTTCAAGCTGAAAAATGCTTTTTCAACGATTCACGTATTCTTTTTTACCTTAGTGATCACACAAGTCATTATCCAATTACTTGTTTGATACATTTACTGAAAATTAATTTATTAACCTGAATCTCCAAGAAAAGATATTACTTTCCCTTTGCTAGTGACAAAAAGTTTTAAAAATCTCCATACCTGAGCTGTATTCCAATCCAATTCAGTAAGAAACCCTGGGGGTGGAATCTGGGCATTAGTTTATAGGGTGTCCCCAAAAAATGTATACACACTTTGAATAACTATTAATTACAATGGGTTAAATCTGAATAGAAAGAAACATCAATTGAGCTATCAGAAAAAGGTGTGCATACATTTTTTTGGACACCCTCTACTTGAAAGCTGTCAGGCGATTCTGAATTACAGCCGAGTTTGAGGCCCACAGGACAAAGTGCTCCCGAGCACCTCACGCTTGTCCCCACCTTGAAGCCGGTGCTCCTGCTTTCCTCGCCACTGCTCTTCTTTTACTCTTTCCTCCAAGCTATTTTTTGAGTCCCAGTTTAGCCTCCACCCATAAAGTCTCCCCTGACACTGTGGCCCTTCCTTCTCTGACCCCCGATTCTCAGCGCTGTGCCTCTGTGTTGTGGCTCGTTGCTCCCTAGGAGGGAACCCTAGCCCTTTAATTGGACTGTATGATTCTTGGAAGAAGGAAGCACATTGCATATTTCTAAATCCTGACAACTCCTGGACAGCATCTGGACTTGTAATAAATCAGTAATAGATACATGTTGAATTTGGGGTTGCTGGTAAAACATACGTATCTTTGGGCAAATTCAGAAAAGTGTCCCTTATGGGTTAAATGGTATAAAAAAGATATCTTTCTTTGGGGGTCCATGTAATTTCTACATGAGGGACATGGCTTGATAAGTGAATGGTGGCCAGATTATGGCCCCACTCAACTTCTTGCCTGGGCACAGTCTGCATGACCTTCCCCAGTGGCCCCGATATGGAAGACCAAACCGTGGTTGGTGTGGAAGAGGTTGACCCAGAACCCAGAGAGCGATGCTTCTCCACGTGCTACAGCCTCTCCCAGGGCTAACCCAGGCCACCAGGTGTGGGTGACAGGAGGATGGCAAACATATAAAACCTTCATCCCTTACTCCTAGGATTTCATCGGGTGTGAAGAAGGGCCGGAAGGCTGGAATCGAGCCTTGATGTGCTCTCACAGGCTGGACTGAAATTTCCTTTTCCTTTTTTCTTTTGTTGTTTTCAGAGAGTGGAAGGGAGAGGGGGAGAGAGAGCTAGAAACATCAATAACGAGAGAGTCATTGATCGGCTGCCTCTTGCAAGCCCCCTACTGGGAATCGAGCCTGTAATCCGGGCATGTGCCCTGACCAGGAATCAAACTGTGATCTCCTGGTTCATAGGTCAATGCTCAACCGCTGAGCCACACCAGTCGGCAGAAATTTCCTTTTAATGCTTCCGTTAACCCTACTATGGTGGATATTTTACCAGCTTGCCCTGTCCCAGAGAGGACTAAGCCAAGCCAAGATAAGGTCCCTGGAGTCCCTCTAGGACTGCCCAGAGCTCTTCCTTTCTATGACAGGCCATGGAAGAGCTGGTGGATGAGGGGCTGGTGAAAGCCATTGGGATCTCCAACTTCAACCACTTCCAGATTGAAAGGCTCTTGAACAAACCTGGACTGAAATACAAACCAGTGACTAACCAGGTAAGCCGCTTAGTAAATGGTAATGATCCTGCCCTGTTACTTCTTAAACCTTAGTGTGATGTATTGAGTCTCATCTCAGGGCTGTGATCAGGACACTTTGGGGAGGTGCGAGACAGCTCTTGCTGCCTGGGTCAGCCAGTCCAGCAGTGGGCAGTGTTAGCCTTTGTCTAGCCTTTGTTCTTTGTGTGTGTAGAACATCCTATGAACAGCTTAAAGGGCAGGCCAGCTTTCTGAGTGACGGGATTGTTTGCTTTTGCAGATTGAGTGCCACCCATACCTCACGCAGGAGAAATTGATCCAGTATTGCCACTCCAGGGGCATCACTGTCACAGCATACAGCCCTCTGGGCTCTCCGGGTAGATTTTGGTGAGGCGTCTGAAAGATTTTCCTCTGGATACCCTACAATAATTATTTTATAATTGGTTAATGTTGGCCTAAGACTATAAACCACAGGAAAGAAAAATGTGTCCAAGGCACTGTGCCTGGTGGGGGGAAAAAGGGAACTTTGAAAAACAGCAGCATGCTGACGCTCGGGGAATACTCCTGTTCAGCCACTAGCACTGGGCTTTGCAAAATGCTGAGGTTCAGAGCCCCTAGAGCCTGTGGGCAAGACACCAAGCTTTCAAGTTCTCCTGCCTCGTCTCCCACATGGAGAAGACTGATGAGCAGCGTTGGGACCCTCATTGGAGTAATATTCATCTGTGTATGGTAAAATGGTGATTACTCATGCCTGCCTGCCTTCTGCCTCTAGGGCTAAGCCAGAAGACCCCTTCCCACTGGAGGATCCCAAGATTAAGGAGATTGCCGCAAAGCACAAAAAAACCACAGCCCAGGTACAGTGTGTGTTTGCCCAGGAAACCATTCTTGTGTTTTATTCCTGATGTTGTCTTCATTTGACTCCCTTAAGAAGTAAACAGGAGAGGAAGCCCATGAAGGCTTTTCCTTGGAAGTGTCTTTGGACCCCAGGAAATACTGTGGTCATCAATGAAATGAGGACAGCATCCATCTAACAGCTCCAGTGAAGCCCTGGAGCTTAGCGCTGAGATCAGGGCTTTCAGAACTGGCTCAGATCCCAGTTCCACCACTCAGCAGCTTTATGACCCCAAACACTGTCCCAAGCTCCTCCCTCCCTCCCTCCCTTCCTCCCTTCCTCCCTCCATTCTTTCTTTTCTTTTCTTTTTATTTTTTGAAAGGGAAGCATAGTGTTGTTGTGCGGATTACAGGAGATAATGGAGCAGAGGGCTGTAAATGTCTGATTGTTACTAAGTGCTCGGTCACTATTAGCTGCTGTAACTGAAGGCACAGTGAGCGGCAGATATTTTAGTAGAGGAGGGGTTCTTGGGGATAAGTGGAAACACGGTGTCCCTTTCTGCCCAGGTGCTGATCCGGTTCCAGGTCCAGAGGGATGTGGTCGTGATCCCCAAGTCCATGACACCAGCACACATCATTCAGAACTTTCAGGTCGGATCCTGGCTGGGTGGCCCTGGTTTTTCTCAGGGGAGGAAGAGAGAGGAGAGATTCTCTCATGGGTTTCTCATTCCATCCCTGGATCGCCTGTGGGCCTCACCCCCTTCCCACCACCCTGTTCTCTCTCAGGCCAGGAGCTTTCCTCAGTGGCACTGAGAGAATGATCTGTGGGCCAAGGATGTGCTGGGAGGGGGGGTGGGGAGTAGCAGTAAAGTCCTGTGAGATCTGAGCACAGCAGTCAGTGCCTCTCACCACTGAGAAGGCCCATGGCTGCCCCTAAGCAGTTAGATTCTGGGCCATGCAGAAGAGCAGTGTCCTGGCCTAAACACCCTGCCTCCCAGCAGCAGGCAGGTGTGGACTATACCTGAAGAGCTGTCCTGGGAGAGCCCATTTGTCCACCAGGGAGCACAGACATGGTGCATGCCTGCAGTTTAGTGCCGATAAGCAGTCACTCTCCCTGGGGAACACTAAACCCTGCCAATGCTGCAGTCTTTGTATAGGATCTAATTCAGAGCCAAATTCACATCCCGTGGGTAGAATGGGAGCAACTGCTGTGGCCAGTTAGTGCTTTGAATGTGAGTTTGCTCCTGGCGACAATAGCTGGAGACCTCAAATCAGACCAGGAATTAGCTTGCCACTGATGATTTGGAATTCTCACTTTTCCAGGTCTTTGACTTTAAATTGAGTGAAGAGGAGATGGCGACCATTCTCAGCTTAAACAGAAACTGGAGGGTCTTCCCTGAGGTCCAGTAAGTGGCACTGTGCTAAGTTAAGGAGGATCATCAGGAGTTTTTCTAAACTGATAGAGTGTTTGCTGGAAGGATTGGAAGGAACTGGGACTACTTTTATCTTCACATACTATTTTCTGGTAGTTTTGAAAATTAAAATTGGAGCACCTGGAAGGACACATCCCTAGCAGATACTTATTGTCTGAACTTCTGGATGTAGAGCTAGAATTTTAAGAGGGGACATGTAACCAGGTAGAAGGCAGAAGCATTTGTTTATTATTCACTCAGGAAATATTTATTGAGCATCTACTATGTGCCAGGCACTTTCTAGGTGCTTGAGATAGCACACTGGCCAAAATTCCTGCCTTCACAGGCTCACATCCTAGTAAGGAAGCTCAGAAGTAAACTCAAAATAAGCATGTCAATTAAGAATGAATCCTACAACTGGAAACAGAGGCCTGGATATGTGGAACAGGCTGACAGCTGTCAGAGGGGAGGGGAGATGGGGGACTGCATGAGAGAAGGTGAAGGAATTAAGCAAACACACACACACACATAACACAGAAACACAGACAACAATGTGATGATACCTGGAAGGAAAGGGGGTGGGGATAGGTGGAGGTGAGCAAAGGCGGAGAAAACGGAGACTGAAAGAGACTGCTTGGAGCGATGCGCGCACGATGCAGTGTGCAGAGGGTGTTTGATTGAGTTGTATCTCAATAAATTGAATTTAAAAAAAGAATAGATCCTACAACTGACAAAGAAAGCAAATTGTAGGAAGGCATTGTCTAATTTTCTATTCTATTCTAAATTTTATATTTTCTATTGAGGGCATACAGAAATAAACTCAAAATATCTCTGTTAGATAGTAATAAATGCTACATAGAAAAATTTAGTAGGATAAAGGGTATAGGAAGTGGTGAGTGGCGGTGGGGTTGATACTTTAAATACGGTGGGTCAGGGGACACTTTGCTGATAAGGTGCCAGCTGAACAGAAACCTGGAGGAAGTGAGGGTGAGCCACATGGATGTCTGGAGGAAGGCCAAGGTGGGGCCTCCTCTTGGGTTCTTACAGAATCTTGGGGGAGGCTGAGAGGGCACAGAGGCCATAGGACAGGCCAGAGGAGAATGCCTTTTGAATGACTTTAATATTAACAGTCTTCTTTATGGTTGTTGTCACCACAGCTTCTCTCACTTGGCGGACTATCCCTTCCATGCAGAATACTGAAGCTGAATCTCCTGATGAGCTGACCCTGCAGAGTCTCTCTCTTCACTTTACTAAACCCTCTCTCTTCGCTTTACTTTATCTACTTTAGCCAAGCTTATCTGAAATCATACTGAACCTGGCCCTCCTGCAGGCTGGAATCTAGGCAGCCTTGTATGTAGAGACACACAGTCTACCGGGAGCAGATTATCACGAGGAGATATCACCCAGACACAAGCACATTACACTCACTGTGCTTGGGAATCTAACCTGAGACCCTTTGGTGTTCGTTTTTTTCACTTATTTGATCTGATCCTGGGGCACCTCTGCTTACACTGAGGATATGAAGATTAAAGTTATAAAGAATATTAATAATAACCAACAAGCACTGAGAGTTTACATAGACAGAGAGCAGACTGGTGGTTGCCAGTGAGGAGGGGGCCTGGGGAACTGGGAGAAAGAGGTGAAGGGATTAAGAAGTACAAAGTGGTAGTCACCAAAGAGTCATGGGGATGGAAAGCACAGCATAAGGAATATAGTCAATAATATTGTGATAACTGTGTATGGTTGGTGCCAGGTGGGTACTAGAAATATTGGGGGGGGTGCACTATGTAAAGTATGTGATTGTCTAACCACTCTGCTGTATACCTGAAACTAATACAAAATAAGACTGGAAGTAAACTGTAACTGGAAAATTAAAATTAAACTCTCAAAAGAAAGTGATGAGAATTTACTACGCGCCAACACTACTCAGGGTACTTTTTGTTTGTGCTTTCTCAGTCTGTCCTGCTAGCACCTCTTGGAAGTAGGTACTCTTATCCACATCTTGCAGAAGAGAAAATGCAGGAATGGTGAAGTCAAGGAACTTGCTCAAGGCTACCCAGGTTGTAAGTGGCTGAACCAAGTTTTAGAGGCAGGTGGGCTCCGGGAGAGCTCACTGTGACTTGTCCCTCCCAAGTCTTCCCCACCTCCCCTCCTTGCCCTTCTCTAGCCTTTCCCCTCCTCACTTTCTCACCTTGCCTTTGACATGTTGACAAGGTCAGCTCCAGTGGTGGCAGAGCCTGTAAGATCTACAAAAGCGCCACCTTTCATTGAAGGAGGGGGGGCGGCATATTCCTGGGGGTGGGGTGGGAAAAAGTGGCTTGTCTGAACAAGGAAAACGCTTACTATTGCCATTAATCCAAAACATTTTTTCTATGATCATTTCTTCTTATGAAATATTCCAACTACATAGAAATGCACAGAGAATAATATGATGAACATCTGACCGCCTACCTTACAAATTTAACAAATGGTTATATTTTGCCATATTGGCTTCAAACATTTAAAAAAAATTATTAATGAAATAAATTGTTACTGATGTAGTTGAGGACTGCTCTGTACCCCTCCCCACCCCCATTCTACTGACTCCCTTCCCAGAGGTAATGCCTGTCCTTAAGTTGGTGAGGCCCCAATTCCTTCCTCTGCTGGTCGCTTGCCTACTTGCCTCCTGCCCTTGCCTTCCCCTGTCCTACATGGGGGAGGTCTACGGACTATATTTCCCGGGCTTCCCAGGCAGATGGTCAATGGGAGACCCTGTTAGGTGATGACCGGAGGGCAGGAGGAAGGGAGAAACAAGGTGTTCTCTCTCTCTTTCTACCTTGAGTGGCATCTTCAAAAGAAGTCCATTTCCTCTCTGGTCCCAGCTCCTGCTAGGCAGCCTGGTCCTCGATTCTGTCTCCCACCAGGTGACACGGCTTCTGGGATCAGGAGACATCACTTCCTTCCCTAGGACTGGTAGTCTCTTCCTGCTCTGAGTGGCCTCACTTTCTCTTCTCCTGTTTGGTATTCCAGCTCTTCCACTCGTGTAACCAAGTTTTTGAATTATATATCCAATGTCCACAAATATTAGAGGGTTTCTGTTCTCCGGCTGGACCTTGACTGATACACTTTTTAATATTTTTCCTATTTATTTACACATTCATAAAAAAAAAAAAATCTGTGGGATTGTTTTGTGTGCTTTTAAAATGCTGTGAGAAAATGTTCTTTTATGTAATTGTTGCCGGTGGAAATGGGGTCCTTTTACTGAGTCACAAGGTAACATCCCAAGAGATACACGTATGGGAGGAGTGGGAAGGTTTATCAAAGTTGAAGTAAACACAAAGGGCTGGTCCAGGTTCAGCAACTACCCGCTGTGGAAAAAGTCCAACTTTGTCTTCATCAAGCCCAGTACAAAGGTCAATGTCCAAAAGTTCTGTGCAAAGTTTAGTCCAGTTCAGCCTGTCCCCATCCTGCTTTTGGGACAAGGGTCCCAGCATTTTCATTTTTCACCGGGTTCTGCAAATTATGTAGCCACCCACAGAATCAGATTTCTCACTGTAAGAGCCTACAACAATGAAAAGATATAAAACATCAATGGGTACTTAAATGGGTGAGTGGGTAAACATCTGATGACGTATAGGATATTTACCTAACCTCAAAGCACCTCTTCACAAAATGCTTCTTAGCTACTGTTATGGACTGAGTGTTTGTGTCCCCCCTCAAACTCACCTGTTGAAATCCTAACACCCAATGTGACGGTATTAGAAGTAGAACCTTTGGGAAGTAATTGGGTCATGACGGGGGAACCCTCATGAGTGAGGTTAGTGCCCTTATGAGAAGGCCCCAGAGCCTCCAGATTCGAGTCCAGCCTGGCCGATACCTTGACTGCAGCCATGGGAGATCCGAACCGAGAACCCAGTTGAACCCACCTGGACTTCTGACTCACAGAACTGTGAGATCATAAATGGGTGTTGTTTCGAGCCATTCTATATTATAAATTTTTTTTTTTAAATCCTCACTTGAGGATATGCTTTTATTGATTTTTAGAGAGCCAGGAAGGGGGTGGGGAGGAGAGGAAGAGAGACACGTCGATGTGAGAAACTGATTAGTTGCCACACGCACGTGCCCTGATCCAGGATCGAACCCGCAAACTTTTTGGGGTACAGAGGACACTCCAAACAACTGAGCCACCCAGCCAGGGTGCAGTGGCCTTCTTTTATATAGCAAAAAGCAAGGTTTAGAACAGTTTTAAAAAACATTTTAAAAGCAACTAATATTTACTGATTTTTATGTATTTCTCTTAGAAATCAGCACTCAGTAAATACATAGGGACTACATTTTGGTTTCTATAAAAAAAAAATTTAAAAATTATCCATACTTTTTTTCTTTTCCTCTTTATTATCTTGGTAGCATTACACATGTCAGTCTCTGGACATCGCTGGAAAGAGCAGGTTGTGAGGCTGCACTTCTTGGCAGCCCTGTTGCCTTCTGCACGCTGGCTCTCTGTACATTGCATGTCCACACCCAAATTCAACCTTAACAGTTGTGACGTTGTTGGCCGAGTCCGCCACACCATGAGTTCACATGTGTCTTTCTCAGCCTGTCTCTGGATTTGGGGCTTTGGCTTCTGTCAACACAAGCAAGACACACTATGTCACTTCCCACCAAGGCAAAGGCTGTGGAGTCTCAGAGGGGGCAGGCTTCTGGAAATCAAAAATATCCGCAAGCCCCAGCTCACTCTTTCTCTTAACAACCTCTTTTCTTGGTTTTAGTTATTGTAACAAAGCAACACGCACATCACCCACATATATTCTTCCAAATAAATCCAACACCAAGTTATTTTCTTGAAAGTCCAGACACAGAAGTAGGCTAGTAAATCAGTGACGCTGGAAACCACAACTCTTCCTAAAGTATTAGCACTGCCAGATCCTCCAAAGCAGTTCCCTTTTCCCCTGCCTCTCGGATCCTGTAGATCCAGAAGAGCCTCCTCCTGAGCCCCGCACTGGGCCCCGCACTGCCCGC